ACAAATCAAGTAACATACAAGAGGATCTATCGAGATTGTTTGAGAAGTTAAAACTGCAAGATCCCAAAAATTATTATATATTAATCGGAGACTTCAATGCCAAGCACTCTATAACAGGCAACGCAAAAACGAACATAATGGGTAACCAGTTAGCTGATTGGATCAATAAATTCAATATACAGTTTAGAGCAAAAATTATTATACCGGATAAGCCAACATTTAAAAGTGGATCTTTGCTCGATATTGCAATAATTGACTGGAGACTAAACAATATAAACAACAAATTAATTGTACAGGATTATGATAGCGATCATAATGCTACGAATCTTTATCTAAAACTAAAAGAAACAATTAGCAAAAATCAAACTGACGACACTGAAAAGGCATGCTTTCTGTACAAAAAAACAAATTGGCCCAAATATAAAGAACAGCTCAACAATACATACAAGACTATAATACCAGATGACAGAAACTTAGCAATAGAAGAAATAGACAGTTATCTGGATGAAATAGAAGATGCAATAAAAGAAACAATAGAAAAAGTAACGCCAAGACTAAATATAAAAAACAGGCTGAAGGAATTAACGAACTTTAAAATAGTTAATCTACATAAAAAGAAGCAAAAGTTGCAATCAGCCATTCATAGAAGAGTGTACAGAAGAGACCCAACAAATATAGCAGAAATTACGGCGCTCAAAAAAGAAATGAAGATAATCAAAAATGAAATCCACAAGGAATTTTGCAAGAATTCTAACGAACATTGGAGAAAGTTGGTGCAAGAAATTGATTATAGAGAATCTGCAAAATTTTTTCCAAATTTAAATAAAATATTCAGAAGGAAGGCACACAGGAATATAGATTCAATTATTATAAATAAAACAGAGCACATGATGCTAATAAATAAATACGATCTGAACAAAGACGTTGGTAATGGAAATGGAGGAGATGCGACTAGTGACATTATCACCGTCACAGATCAGGAGCTACTTCCAGAAATAATTGGCTCACAGCTAAAAGTTATAAATACACTCCCTAGTTTGGATAAAAATAACCTAAGAAACATTGTATACAAAAAGGTGAAAGATTTTAGAGAAGAGAAGGACAGAGAACCCCTGCCTAACACATTTACAAAAAGAAACTCGGCGCTGTGGCCAACCAATGATTCGAGTCTTAGTTATCTAACAAATTTTAAAGAAGTTAAATGTCGCATCACTAAAATATCAAATAAAACTTCTCATGGTTTCGACGGAATCCCGAATATAATAATTAAAAACAGCACTAACAGGGTGATTAGAAACTACACAATTCTCTTCAATAACTTACTAAACTGGGGATATTTCCCAAATAAATGGAAAACAGCGAAGGTAATAGTGCTAGTAAAAAAAAGAGACAAACCCATAGAACCGGACAATTTAAGACCAATAAGCCTGTTGCCAGTAATCAGCAAAATTTACGAGCGGATAATAAACAGAACATTAACAACAACAATACTGAAAAAGGAAATAATACCAGAGCAGCAATTTGGATTTAAGAAAGGACACTCCACTATTCATGCGATCAACAAATTAATGTCAGATGTATTGTGGCATCATGGCAAAAATGAGTTAGTGGGAGCATGCCTCATTGACCTCAGAAAAGCATTCGACTCGGTATGGTTGGAAGGATTAATATATAAGCTAATTAAGAAGAACTTCCCACATCATTTAATTAAAATAATTGACAACATGATTACCAATAGAAAATTTAAAGTAGCAATTGAAAAAAGAATCTCCAAGGAAACGTTTGCCATCACTAGAGGATTACAACAGGGTACAGTCAACTCACCAACGTTATTCAACATTTATAATGCAGATATTTTAAATATGTTCAATATGAACGAAAATAGCAATTTATATGCAATTGCATTTGCGGATGACTTAATAGTATATGCTGCGAACAAAAATTTAAAGAAGACTCAAATGGAACTTCAAGAAACATACAATAAAATTAAACACTACTACAATAATTGGCTCTTACAGATCAATCCGAGTAAATGTGAGACAATACTATTCATAAATAAACTGGGCCTCAAATCGAAGATAACAAAGCGCAACTGGAGAAATTTCAGACTAATAGACATAGAGAAGGATATCGTTACTGAAATTCCCCATCGTAGGCATGTCAAATATCTTGGAGTAACATTAGACGACAGATTAAATTTCAGCGAGCACATTATAAGCCAACTCTTTTATAATATTCACCTAGAAAGGCGGACAAAAGTTATTGCGTACCAATGTTTAATCAGACCCATATTGACGTATGCATGTCCTATATGGTACAACATTAGCGCATGTAAGATGGAAGCATACAGATTATTTGAAAGAAAGTGCCTTAGAGCGTGTTTAAGATATTACAGGGAGCCAGAGTACGATTATAGATATAGAGTTAAGAACACGAAAATATACACTATTGCAAAGATTGCGAGAATAGACATATTTATTATAAAATTAATACGTAAACATATTAGGGACGCAATTAATAATAAATACAACAGCCTAATATGGGGACCTTACTATCCGAAAAATATGTTTTATAAAAATGTATTAAGGGCAGGTTTAATACCACCGGAAGCATTTTTATATTTAGATTTAAATAACTATATCATCAACGAATATGCGCAACCAATTCTTTACCATGTTCCAAGGAATAACAATAACAAAAGCATAACATATAAACCTAGAAATTTAAATCATATGTACTTAGTGTACAACACGAATGTAACTGCAATAGACATAGATACGATAAGAGATTTTAAATACTTTAAAAAGTGATATTATATAAGACTGTGTAGGAAATAAGGTATAATGTGCAAAAATAAGTATAGAGAGTAGATACATACCTTATCGTCTCTTGTTTATTTATGATGTTTAGTTTATTGTCACCGTTAGTAACGAGAGATGCGTTAATAGTTTATCGCTCTCTTGTTTGCGTTATGATACTTATGTTTGTTCTTAATTCCCTTTATATGAATATTTTTAATATTAAGCATGTTATTTTTTTATATAAAAAAAACAAAATTTGAGTTTCTAGTTTTTTGGATAGTCACGTTTTTCTAGAT